ACACCAATGTGATGGTTAGGCACGTAGTGATAGAATCATTTCTTAGTTTTAAGTTGGGGGACCAGATCTATTTGAACATTGTTTCTATTCTAACCGAATGAGACCTCTAAACAAGATGCACAGTATACTAATATGCGTATCTTTGAATGACGCAAAAAAGTGAATTTTCTTCACTGAATCGGCCGTTAGGAAAATCAATTAAAATTTAAAAAAAAAATAACTTGAAGAATCAACACACAATATTATTATGAGTGAAGTAAATTTCTTCTTTGGTGAATATGTAACATGAACTGTATAATTTTCAACAAGTTTTCAAATCTCAAAGATGATTATTTTCTTCATGAAATGAAGAACTGATCATTTCATCGACCCTTTGAAGGGGAAACAATGGAAACTATTATGTTTATTCTGAATATCACAAAAAGCGGCTATAGTATGTTCTCCCTAGAACAAATTCATTATCATGGTGATCAAATCATTGGTAGACCAAAATAAACTACTCAAAACTGAGTAATACAATAATTTTTTACTCAAACTTCTCCCATGCTCCTCAAATACAAAAAAAAAGTTTTTCCATTCAAAATATTGAGGTTTTAATTCGTAGTAAAACTGGCATCATCTCAAAATGTTGAAACTATATCTATCTACTTTTCAAGTATATGTCTAAGAAATCAATGAATTATTGGTTGAACATCAATTTCAATGCACAGTTTTGAGTAGCTTATTAGAAAACCCGCATTCAAAACACGTGAATTCGAGACAAGAGATGTAAAACCACCTATGCTACATTCCCGGTAAGAATATAGTGTGTGGTGAGATAGGAACTGATCAACCTCACTTTCTCATTGGTCAAGATGCCAGGCCAGTTTACACTAGCAACAAACTCATGAATTATATTATAAACTATGGATGTGGGTTATTTGAACCAAATATGCAAAATAAACTCTATGGAAGCAATGCAAAAAATGAATGATTGGTTCAACACTAAATTTTTGTTTCACGGATTTGCTAGTGTAAAGCAGGTTCTGCTATCTGCACCATCTAGTCAATATTGATGGACTAGACGGGTCACCTTAATAACTTTTCAGCATATGAAGATGACAATCTGCATGCCCATCGGAATATTTGTAATACAGCAGTGATTAAGCTGCTGTATATTTTTATAAAATGGTTATGGATCTCCCTGTATTGTGAGATCTATAATGAAAAAAAAAAAATAGTATTCATATGCTTAAAATATTAAGGATAAGGTAACGTCTGATGCAGCGGCAGGTACGATTATGTCATGACAAAGCGGCCTTGAGCTGTCTAGTTCATCAATCTTGATATACTGTATTCTTATCTGGAACATAATGCAAGTACAAGGTTTTCAACAACGAGTGAGAGCCACGTGACAGATTACTAACCAAGAATAACTTTAATATCTCTTTAACATGGTGGAAAAGAGACGCAATATTAAAATGTGTCACGCGGCACTAAATCACAGTTGAAGACTCGATCATCAGGGCGCGTTCCATTCAAGACCCTCAACTCAACGATCAAGAACCAACCGCACATTTCAACTGTTCCACTTGAAAGTGTGGGCTAAAGGCGTTAACTCGGGAGTAGCTCAAGTGCAACATACACTGGGCTGCTCAGGTGCATAAAATATCAAAAAGAAAGTAACTTAAGCTAGAAAATCTTTGGTAGAAGTCAATATTGCTCAGTGGAGTGGAATTTTTCAAACGAAGGAAGTAATGCTCAAAGTCGTCTCTACAAATGTTAAAGGTGTTGTTACACAATCAGAAGGGACATGTTTTGGTCTTATAAAAGACCATCTTCAGATATTCAACAGTTATGGATTTGAAAAAATGTAATGCTTAAGTTTATGCGTAGTCAGTTGAAAAACTTTCGTTTTAAAGGACGATACGAGGATTTGTCGATTTGCTCAACATTGGAATAGGAATGAATGAGATATTTTCTAATAAGCTTTCCCGGTATGCAGTCTGTGCAGTTAATTAACTGGAATTAACTAAAATAAGCGATACCACCATATACAAAGTTATTAGATCCCGAGATGTTGTGGATCATGAAGTTAAACGAAAAAGATTGGTTCAAGAATTCAAGAAGCTTGATAATGATTCGAAAGAAGGAATTCGTCGAATTGTATATAGATTTTATAATGAGAATAAGGTGCCAAAATTGCCAGATATCAGGAATAAGTTGAATGAATACGCGGATTATAATTATAAATCGTTGAGTACGTTGCGAAATGTTTTACTAGATTGCGGATCCAGCCATAAAAAAATAGACAAGAGGATATCTACGTAAAATAAAGGAATACCGTGAAGCGAATAGGCCCATAATTTATCTAGATGAAACGTTGTAATACGGTTGGGTAGATGATAGCAAAACCTGTAATTTGAGTGGTCCGAGTTCGAGAGGCAAAAGAATTATAATCCTTCACGCCGGCAATGAAAATGGATTTGTTGACAATACATTGTTGTTGTCTGCCAAAAATCTCAAGCAATCCTGTGCTGATTATCACGAGGATATGACGGCAGAATTATTTGAAAAATGGGCAGAGCAGCAGCTTATACCAAATATTTCAGGGAATATCGAGCACCAACACGAAAAAGGCTGATATTATTAAATTTATGGAGAAAAAAAGGCATGGAATTATTTTTAAAAACTGAAGAAAGAATTAATGGAAATGATCAGGAAACAAAATTTCCCGAAGGAATATGTAGTTGATGAACTCTTCGGAGCGTACGGTCATACTGTCTTACGTTTCCCTCATATTACTGTTTTTAACCCCATTGAGATGGTCTGAGCTGCTATTGGAAGCAAAGTACGTAAAAATAACCAATCACCGCAATTTAGGAAGTCAGTTTTACCCACCATCAGGACAGAAGTTAATGAGATTAACGATGTTCTCTGAACATTATAGGGATTCCCTTTCGTGCGCTCCAAGCGATAAAAAAAAAAAAAAAAAAAAAAAAAAAAAAACGAGAGTGACATATGGAGGAATTGTGTATATCATGTAATCAATAAAGAAAATGAATATTGTATCATTAGGGTAAATGAAGTTTCGAGTCCTGAAGAGTCCGATAGTGACTATTGATATATCATCCACTATTTGTGTATAACAGTTGCGAAAACTAATAAGTGATGTGGCATGTGTGTAGTGTAATTGTGTAGACTGTAGGAAAGTGATGTCACATGTGTAGTGAAACTGTGGAACTGTATATACCTATTTATATTTCCATCAAGTTCAATAATATTCATATTTTTTTGGTTGATTATTTTCTGATGATGATGATGATGTATATAATAGAGTGCCTCTACCAATCAGAAATTCAGAATTATTGGCATTTCCTTAGAACTTAACTTATTCATATTATTGTTACATACATATTTTGAAGTTACTTATACTACTGAGTATTTCTATCAAGTTTAATGTTTCCTTTTTATTTAATTTTATTGAGAATTTTTATTAAGTTTAATGTTATATTCATATTTTATTTCGTTGAGAATTTTGATTCAGTTTAATTTTATATTCATATCTCAAATGTGAGACAATAGGGCTATTGGCTATTGAAAACAGCTTTCATTTGTGGTAACGAAAAAAATATTTTACCCGCCGCCGTTAGCTGCGGCTTGTCAAAGGATTAGCCGACATGCAGCCGGTAAAATTTTTTTTTTGCTTTTTCAACTGACTTCGCATAAACCATACTAGTTGTGAAATTGTTGTCAATGCCCATAATCAAAAATCGAGTTTATAAATGAAAAACGGGTTCTCAATAAATGAAGGGCCCCGTGCCCTGAGCGCATGCAATTAATCTTATCGAAATAATAATTGTCAAAATTTTTTTTCTGACAACACCATAAATCAGCGGGTTTTTTATAAAAGGGGTTCCTATGCCTGTATGAAAGCGCTACTAAAAGAAAAATATCAATAACATTGATAGGGCAAACAGCCAGTTTAATTTTAAACTAACCACATTAGTTGAGAAGTTATTCGATTGCTTCTTTTTTTGCTTTGTGTTGTTTTTACGCAAAAAGTAAAAGCCATAGCGGTACTAACAATCATGATGGCAAGGCAGGACCTTTGATAATCGATAAGGACTCCGTTCCACTTTGCAAGTTCACACTCAATAGACTTGGCCAAACACGCGGATCCATCTTTGATATCGTAACCGCAACAAACATGTTGCCAAGGGGAACAGCAAAATTTGCATCACATTCCTTGTGAGTCTTCAGTGGAATGCACCCTCAAACAGAAAGCGTTCATCATTGAGATTCCTAATATACATGTGGACCGGCAATCGTTCCAGCTTGGTACAACCAAAAACCCGAACTAGGGTCCCTTGATGGAAATTGACGTTAAAGTCATCTTAACAGGGTACGGACAGATCATAGCTGCATTCTTTTTTAATGATATAGAGACTTTAGTTTTGTCTACTGGCATCCCTGACACATCGAGGTTTTAACCATTTTTCAATCATAAGGCTCAGCTAATTCAGCTCATAGATAAACTACTGCTCAGCTTGAAATCAGCATTCATTTAGTCAATTCAGTCAACCCTGGTATACAGTCTAAGAAGAACAGCCTCTTTTGGTGAAATATATTAAGCTTTCAGTACAATTTGTATGTTCCCTATCTCGCAAAGATTTATGCTGGAGTAGTAAACTCTAAAACTAGAGGATTGATCATCTATATCTTGGTATTGTTGAATCAGGAATTCCATATGGAAATTACGTATGATACGCCAACGACCTAAAAAACAACAAATGTCAAAAATCTAGTGTTTATCCCCAGAATTGAATAAGGATGGAACTATATAAGTGTTTCACAAACACTTTAGAGTGAGAGGAGACGAGGATCTGTCCGTACCCTGTTAGATGAAAAATACGTCAGTTTGCATCAAGGGACCCTAATCCGAACAACCCGTCGGTCACTTCTGCCTGCAATAAAAATTGTGGTAAACGTCAAAGTGTGTTTCCGGCGGCGACGCGACAGGCGCGAAGTCCCGTCGATAAGATGGCGGCGCAAAGTCCCGTCGATAAGATGGCGGCGGGCAGCCTTCCGCCCACCACACCGGCAGGGGCAGGTCGGCGGGCGGCTGCACCATGACGTACTGTGGGGGCAGCAAGCCGGGCCGCCCCCACGCCATTTGCTAGCACCGCTGGTTGTTCCAATGGTTCATGTACTCCTGATAGGTCACTGTTATTTTTTCACTTTGATAACGTGTCAGTTTTATGGTTCGGCGCACTTCGCTCGATATCACCGATTTGTAGCCGCCTTTACGTAGGAGGGAATCGATCGTTTGCAGCTGGTCCCAACCTAAAAAAAATATCCCGTTATCCAGGCACCTTATTTAAACGCGGGTGAAGGTCCTGAGCATGTAGGTTCTTGAGAATGTTTTTGTCGGGTTCGAGGGAAGTTGTTAAACCTAAACGGGATAAAAATAATTAATATAATCAATAAATAGGGTGATCCAGGGGGCATATTCATATGTTACCGACACAACTAGCAGCTCGGGAAATCCGAACGATTATATTTAAGTTACAGACGTAAGTTTAGGACTCCGTCGGTAACTTATGTCTAGAGCAAGCAACGCAGTACATTTTATAATTTTTTGTTAATATTATTTTTTTCTGCGAATATGAGGAAGGAAAACATCCTTTCTGCACAAGACTTAACTTGACTTAAACGTACCTTCTTCCTGAAAACTATATTTTTCGGACGATTACTGTCATAGAGAACAAAGGAGACTGCTTTTTCAAACAGTCTAACCTAACAAGGCCTAAGTGAAACTTTTTTCTATAAAGTATATCTTACGGAAAACTCCTTGAGATTTCTTGAATTAAAAAAAAATTCTCGCGAGGGCTCAACTCGAGCCCTTTCTCACAGTGGCACGGCCTCACTTAAAAACGTTTTTATGACAAGAAAATTGCATCTCTCCCACTGCCAGCATACAGCGACTGGATCGTCAAGTTACAAGCATAAACTGATAATTACGTCGGTAACATATTATCACGTATTCGGAATCGCTCGGAAATCCGATTGTCGTTTTGTGTCGGTAACATATGAATATGCATCCAGGGGCGTGAGAATTATTCAGGGAAACATTTTCACCAGTTTTTCATAGAGGGACAGACAAGAAACTGGAACAAAAACACTAAGGAATTAAAAACGAGATAATGCTGGATTCATAATTAGATTATTCTCCATAAATGGAGCATCTCAATCATATACATACAGGGTGTTGTTAAATTCAAACTACAATTATTCAAAGGTAATAAGCCTTGGTGATTTGATGAAAAGTGATATAGGAATATAAGCTCCTCTGTCGCTATATACGCCTGGGAAAAATAATTAACCTAAAGAGAAACCATGCGAATGAATATGCATATAGATTCATGGGTATTCGACAAAGAGAGGAAAAAAGCGTCGTTGCCCCACCTACTCGAGTATGGCACGTGTGGCAAACGATAATGCCTTCGGTCGGGCCAACAAATGGTCTCGCTCAAAGCAGGGGGGGGGTTAGGTTCAATGTCGCTTTTTCAAAATGCCCGTGCACACGGTTTATCCATAGGAAAATTATTCTTGCCATACGTGTATAAATATGGAATGTTGAAAATGAAAAACATAAAATAAGTTTTTTAAATAACTTGAAACCAGCTAAATTATTCTCTATGATTTTGATGAATTATTTTCTTCTCAAACTCCACAATTTTTGACCATACAATAACAATAACACACAGGTGGTTTCAACTTTTTCCCTCATATTTTTAACACCACCAATGAAATTTCGAATCAATCAAAGGTGAACAGTATTGATAGTTCTATCAAAATCTACATGACCAGTGAAATCCCTTGACAACTAGAAGATACTAACACAAACATGGTGATCAGGATCATTTTGAGTCCAGACAAAATTATTCAAATATACAGATTAGGCATTTTCCATAATTATATCGTCTCAACCACATGTTTTTTTTACTATTTTTTATAAAGTACTTTTTTATTGAATCAAGAGAATTCACATTCTATACAGATTCATCCTTTTATATATAAAGGGTCTTTCAATAAGGACCGGTCGATGTTGACAGTGTGTGGCGGCCATGTTTTTGTGGAGGCATCTGTCAAATCTGTTGTATTCTATTCAGTCACTGATGCCAAATTACCATGGCAAGTTACACGATCGAGCAGCATGTCCAAATGAATAAACTTTATTATCAAAATGAGTGTTCGTTAGTGCAAACGTTGCGCGCATCGCGCCCATTTTACGGCAGACGCGGTGGCCCTTCAAAGTCGACTCCAACTGGCCAGCAGCTCAAAGTTAATGACCATAGGCAACACCGTTTGTTCGCTCAGTGGGCTTCGGAACGTTTGGAAGACGACTCCGATTTTGGCCGAAAAATAATCTTTAGCGACGAGGCCCATTTTTGGATGAATGGTTTTGTTAACCCTTTCAAGCCCAGTGATGCCATATGGCATCATATATTATATCCACGTATAGGCGCGTTCAGATCATTCGGCAATTGTTTAGGATTATCCCAATGATGCCATATGGCATCATAGTATTTGAGTCATAAAAACTACATGTCTGGCATTTTTTCTTCTTTAACAACCTTCAGAATCTTATCAATGATAGAATTATCGAATGATATATTTTTTTCAACGGATTCAATAATTTGGGCCGGAAAGGGTTAATGAGCAAAATTGCCGTATATGGGATGAACACAACCCACAGGAGGTTTACCAGGTGGCAATGCATCCACAAAGAGTTACTGTTTGGTGTGGATTTTGGTCCGGCGGCGTCATTGGTCCGTACTTCTTTGAAAATGACATTGGCGAGGCCATCACCGTCAATGGCGAGCACTACAGATCAATGATTAACAATTTCTTTTTTGCCTCAATTGAACGATAAGGACGTGGACGACATGTGGTTACAACAAGACGGCGCAACGTGCCACACAGCGAACGATACAATGGACATTCTGCACGAACGGTTTGAGGGTAGGGTTATCTCTCGCAGAGGTGAACATAACGCAAGCCATTGCTCAGATTCAGCCGGATTTATGCAGCAGAGTCATTGAAAATTGGACCTCTCAGATCCGTGCCACCATTCGAAGCCGCGGCGGACATTTGAACGATGTCATATTCCATAAATAATGGCATAATGGGCCATTCAAATAAAATAAAAAAATCGTTAATATCTCACACACAGTTTGTCTTATTCAATTACAACATGGACCGGTCCTTGTTGAAAGACCCTTTATATTATATTTTAAATTTACATAAATAGTATATATAATATTATACAATACAGAATATATAGACAATTTACTGAAGTTACTTTACAAACTATAATACACAGTATTAATAATAGAGATAAATAGATAAAGAACTATTCAACTAAAATTCATGTATGGCCTCCTGTATGGCCCATGTGAAAAGTAGTCATTTTCAGGAACAGAAGAAATGACTCATTTGAGATATGCAATAAACAACATTCATTAGTCAATATCTCATTTGAGTTTGTATTCACTTTATTAGGTGTCCAGATATACTGGGTTTCATGAAATCCATTGTTGATCAGCCTGTATGTTTTAGATATGGCATAATTTTGTTGAAATTTTTGATAAAAAAAATCTACAATATTTGGTTATTAATATTTGTTTTAAATTGATTAGTCATCATAAAGGTAATTATAAATGAGATGATAGGTAACTACAATTAATTTTATCATGAAAAACATTAATCAACACCAAAAGGATAATAGTTATTCAAACACCAAGGTAGTAAAGAATGTAGTATTACTACCAAGGTGTATATTGCATTTTTTTTTTCACCACTAGCAATATATTTCAATCATTTTAGTTATGTGAAACTGAAATATGGACCTATGTCACTGCAAAAATGTCATTTCAATTCTAATCAAAATCCAGTGCTATCCTGCTAATCTTCTATCAGAACAGTGGATTCTGGTTAATTCTACCAGAGGTGGCTATGTTTTTATTGACTAGTGGTTCATGAAATGACAAAAACTACTTTGGTACTTTAGCTAGTGGTGAAAGAAATAAATTATGAACATGTTTCTTGAATTCATCAGTGGTAAGTATGTCCAGTTTCAGTATTCAAGCAGCATGAGAAAATTTAGTAACATTTTGATCATGCAAGCCTCAACTTTAAATGTTTTACTTCTTTTCTATTTGGCAAAATTTCAATTTCCTTTCCATTTCTGGCATTTTAAGTTATTCCAAAATCAATAATATTACCTTATACATTACAACAGTACAGTACAGTACAAACAGTGTAAAATGTATGTAGAGCATGTGTAGTGTAGGGTAAATTGTATAGTATTAACTGTTTTCATAATTGGAATAAACAAGTTAAAATTGCTATTGAAGATTATGTTATGTATTAATTAACCTTCACAATGGAAAGAAGGATTAGAAATTCAATTAGAAAACATAGGTACAAGTAAGCTTGTGAGACTTAAAAACTAAAAAACTCATTATACATCCACAAATACAATCATTAGGAATTTAACCAGTTAGAATGTAAGGAATATAACACAAATAAAACTTTACCTTGTTCAGAAGCAATTTCTGGTAAATAGGTAGCTGTTCTCTTGTTTCCCTTTTCATTTATGAATTCAATCCTTATTCCATGTACTCCTACAGTCCAATCCATATAGTCATCACCATCCTCAAAATGTCTCAATATGGACACTGAAACACTCAGCTTTGGAAACTCATCTCGAACAATGGGGCTGAACCTGGAGTCCTTGAAAGCACTTGTGATTGCATACTCACGCAACCCTGACTGCAAGTTCATGGCATTGAATGTACCTATACAACCCCTAAGTCTTTTGTCCCTGCCTATTTTCCATGTCACAAACAAGGGACTGTGAAAACAATAAAAAAAATTAATTAATATTGTACAGCTATGTACAGCTGATGAGATTCTGACAAGCACACAAACAACAAAGAGATTACCAGACAGTTGAATGACCTTTTCCCAACAAAAGGATTTGTTTTCAATTCAAGCTGTGAGTACTAGGATAAGCCAAGGAAGGTATGCAATTACTACAGATTTAAAAAATATAATTTCTACTTACTATGCATCGTTACTGAATGATGGAATTTTCGGAGGGGCAAGGTTATACAGATGACAATATAGGACGTCGAAACAAAAGAAACACATCTCTGGCATAGCCACCATGCCTAAGCCGTTGCTCATTCCGTTAGGTACGAATGACGAACCATTACATGATGGAACACTTGATGAGTTATTTAGTTTTTGCTTTTTTGTACCACAACATCCAGCAGCCATCGTGTTTTCAATCACCCCAGCGATCCAGCCGCAGCCCAGCACAGAGCCACAGACAGTAGAGTAGAATTTGGTAGAAGTAGATCCAGTGTTGCCAGCTGGTGAACATGAAATCATAAATCACAGGGTCGTATTTGAAGTATTTCTCTGATAACATCACACTGATAAACCTGTCGAACCATATTAGCCCATATCTCTAGTTCAACATCATACAGATCTGCGACTTTCTTGCTATGAGTCACAAATTGGTTCCTCTAACCCAGCCAACACATCTGTGACATGACATTTTTGAGATGTCGCGTTTAGGTAACAGTGAGATATCACAAACGTGATGTTCTATCACAGCGATGTACAGAAGCAGACAGCTCTGCGACATGACATCTCTGAGATGTCGCGATGGTGCAACACTGTGATATTACGAATGTCCTATCGCTGCGATCTACAGATGCAAACACATTTGCGACATGACATCTCTAAAGTTGTCATGATGAGGCAAAACTGCGATATCACGAATGTTGCATCGTGCGATGTACACATGTGGACTTCGTATTTCAGAGAATTTGTCAAAACTTTCATATTTTGATTCTTGATGGGCGAAAAAGAATAGGTACATGAATACAGGTACGTTACACAACAAAATGAAGCCAAATTCGCAAACATTCGTTATATTGTTATCAAACTATTCTTGCTTTGCTTACATCCGCGGACACACACTACATAATTTTGTATACAAATACGTGATCTCATTTTGATGGAGATGCTAATGGGTATTGAGGATAGCGCCACTGAAAAGACGATTGACGACGACAGGCGACCCGAGGGACCACCAACCAGTCATAACAATGTATAATCAATTATTAGATCGCTTTTCCATCACAAATAACATATGGCAATTACATAACAAAAATGATATCGCTGCTGTTATATCGCAGAGATCTTATCGCAGCCACGTCGGATGGATGAAATTTAAATGGGACAAAATAACATCCCTCTGACATCGCATCGACTTCTATGCTACATATATAATGCGATATCGCAGGTCACAATTGTTACATCACTCCGATATCTCTGTGATGTAACTATGTGCTGGAAAGTTTCAATGCTGATTTAGGCAAAATAACAATAATAAGCATCACAATTTTTTCAAATATACATAATATTATTTAAAAGTGGCAGAAGTGACACAAATAATGAACCAACCAGATGAACACAAACCCTGTCATCTGTCATTTTTTTATCTGCTTATACATATATCTTCATCTCGAATGTTTCAGATTGATCTCATATATCCGTCATCACCAATTCATGTGATCACAATATCTCCATATAAACCGCTATGACCCCTGTTAAAAACGCTAGAATTCCGATACATCTCAAATCAAGTCGAAATAATGTCGCATTCACCTCAATTCTAAAAACTCTTGATTTAGCGTCAAAACTGGTAATATGGCATCCCTGATCCCTGAGTAATTCAGAACATAAGCAGTTTTGCCAACTCAGATTTCTGAGACTTCCAAAAGTCCAATATGGCCACCTGAAAAACACCAAAAAAACACAAACTCTGATGGAATAGATAAAAATGCGCCGCAAGCAAACATTTTTGCAAATACAGTGATTTTCTGGTGGTTTTAACTTCAGTTCAGATCACTAGTGTCCCTTGATGGGCATGACATGAGTACAGTGTAGTTCAGATACCCACATTGAGGTTTTCACCATTTCTCAATCATAAGTCTCAGCTCATTCAGCTCATAGTTAAACTACTGCTCAGCTTGAAATCAGAATTCATTCAGTCAATTCAGTCAACCCTGGTATACAGTCTCTTTTGGTGAAATATATTAAGCTTTTAGTACAAAGTATATGTTCCCTACCCCGCAAAGATTATGCTGGAGTAGTAAACTCTAAAACTAGAGGATTGTTCAACTATATCTTGGTATAGTGGAATCAGGAATTCCACATGGAAATCACGTATGATACGCCAATGACCTCAACATAACCTAAAAAACAACAAATGTCAAAAATCTAGTGTTTATCCCACGTTTATCCCCAGAATTAAATAAGGATAGAACTATATAACTGTTTCACAAACACTTTAGAGTGAGAGGAGACGAGGATATGTCCGTATCTTAGTACACCCGTACCGGCCGTACCCCTAGTAATCAAATATCTGTCAGTCTAATTCTGTGATTTGATTTTGAAAAAATGCGAAATTAGTGGTTGTTTATTAGTTATTTACGCGAAGTGCAAGATGACTTGCAGTTCTTTCACTTCATTCTCGGAGACGATGTTATTGGCTTTAAGAAGATCCGGCAACTATTGCCTCCAAGTTCAATGATTTTTTTCGTTAAGGGTCCTATCGAATTGGTTAAACAAATACCTCCAAGTAATAATGGGGTATTTGATAATGAAAAGGATTTCAACCCTTACACATAAGTTTTTGAAACCATTTACGAAACATGAATTACTCTCATTGTTGAAAAACAAACTAAAGAATAAAAAATCGCCTGGTCCAGATGACATACCGATGTTTATATTGAAAAGAGTTCTTCCTTTGATAATATTACCAATAACACATCTGGTAAATTCGTCATTTGTGGAGGTGATTTTGCACACAAGTTAAAAATTGGTAACGTCACTCCTATTTTCAAAAAGAAAGACTTGTGGAAAATTATCGTCCTATAACAGTCCCTTGTGGACTCTCGAAAGTTTTCGAATATGCATTTTTGGAACGTCTTAGTTCGTTTCTTGATAAACATTCTGTCTTGAGTAATAGGCAGTATGGATTTCGTTCTGAAAAATCTACGAACACAGCTATGTTCTCATTACTGAACAAAACCATAGAATACGTTGATTCAGGTGAATATCCAGCGGTACCTAATTCTTTGTGATCTTACTCGAGCTTTCGAAATTAGAAATGTATAGAATAAGAGGCGTATGTCTTAGTTGGTTCTCGTAATTTCTTCACAATCGAAAGCAATTTGTTTCCTTACAAGTAAAGTACATTGATGACTGCCGGTGGGGCAAGGGGTTTGGGAGTTTTGGCTGGTTCAAGATCCAGAATTCTGATCACCCTGTATCTGTTCCGATTGAATATCAGTAAATAGTGAATGAAAAGTTGAGACAGGGACATGTGAGCCGTTTTAGCCGATAATGAATAGTTGCGGCACAAACAAATCCTGAAGTTGGAAAATCTCGATTTTGAACACCCTATCTCTGTAATCATTCCCGATAGACTCCAAGTTTGATGTATTGATGAAATCAGCTCTTCAGAGAGAATCTAAGAATGCAATGAAATACAGGGTATTCTATATTTGATATACGTAACAAAGTTGTGGCTACTTTTTGATAGAAACGGCAACACTGCATTCCTGAAATTATTTCAAATGAAGAGACGCGTATTCTAAAATATAAGCATGCATATTTTCATGTATTTCTCCTGACTAATTCTGGATATAGAGATAGTGTGAGCTTGTCGGGACATACCCTGTATGATTCGTACCGTTTTTTGTATTTTTTCCGATCGAGGAATACTCGAGCTCTTCTGATTCTCGCGCTTTCTGTTCGAAACTGTATTTTTTCCGATCAAGAAATGCTTCTTTCTGAATCTTGTGCTTTCTGTGCTCGAGACTGTATTTTTTAAGAATCTACCATCTTTAATAACTGTGATACAGAACGTAACCTCGATTTTGACAAAATCCATTACCATCTTTAGTCATTAAATCATTTCTTTGTAATGGAAAGGGTTCGATCTCTTCACTACATATTGTATGTTAAGTTCTTCCAAAATTCTTCCATATCTTTAGTGAATTTCGAAAAAAAATAGCACCTGTATACAAAATATCTCCCCCCCCCCCGTTCAATTTTATTATCATCATTAGTCATAGATAAATTATTTTTTGTTCGGAAATTAATCGGTTGGCAGCATGATTCAACTTATTAGTCATTCATTCGGGACCAGGTGACCGTGGTAAATCAAGACAGTCTTATATTAGATGTCATCACGTGCGGTCGAATTATGTGATCGACATCGAATAATACTAAATACTAAAAACTGAGTGATCGTATTGATTCGTATTGTACTATAGTGTTTTTGTATTCCTCATTCGATTCAATAATAATAATATCGGGAATCGGGATCGTGTGTTGTTCTAGTGTTTCGTGTTGTTTCATCAAAGCCTCACTTTTTTCACGCTGGTGAGTGCAGAGACATTCTCTCAATTTCTCCTCATATTTCTCTGTATTCATTTAACTTCATTACCCTATACAGGGTATGTCACGACGAGCTTACACTTCCTTTAAATCGAGAATCAGTCTGGAGAAATCCAAGAGAATGTGCATGCTTATATTTTGGTTTACGCTCTTTTCATTCAAGATATGTTCGACAACGCAGTGTTGCCGCTTCTACTAGAAAGTAGTAGCAACATTGATATTTCGAACGGAACACCCTGTGATTTATCGCATTATAGGATTCTCCCTGAAGAGCTGATTTCATCGATGTATCATACTTGGGGTCTATCGAAAATGATTACAGAGATATAGGGTGTTCAAAATCGATATTTTTCAACTTTAGAATTTTTTTGTGTCGAAAATATTCATTATCGGTCAAAACGGATCGCATGTCCCTATCTCAACTTATGCTTCATATTAACTGATATTCAATCGAAACAGATACAGGGTGGTTCAAGATTCAGAATTTTGATCACATGCATATTTTCATGAATTTCTCCCGACTGATTCTCGATATAGAGATAGTGTAAGCTCGTCTTGACATGACATACCCCGTATGTTTCGTACCGTTGTTGTATTTTCTCCGATCAAGGAATACTTTCTTCTGATTTTCGTGCTTCCTGTTCGGAACTGTAGCTTTTAAGAATTTACCATCTTCAATAACTTTGATACAGATCGTAATCTTGATTTTGGCAAAATCTTCATCTATGGTCAGGTCATATAACCTTTGAACCACTGTGTTTAATCGATTCATACTTGGTAGGTATATTCAACTCATATTTCTCATCGAAACTAAATATGAATCGAGTTTAGAATCCAGATCCGACTTCAGGCAAAACAAAAAACTTATTTTTTTTAACAGTGCGCATCCAATTTGAAAAATAGTATTTTTATTGAACTTGTTATTCCAAA